TCGTTTCTCTCTTCCTGAGCATATTTTCATTCTCCACCTCACACTGTAGTCTATCATTTTTTCTAGTTTGCCATATACACATATAGCCATTATATACTGTCCAATTTTTCATGTTTTTGAACCTCACATAAGTAAAATCATCTGGTTTGTATTTTTGTGTGACTGGCTTTTTTCATGTATCATAATTTTGAGACTCATCCGCACCGAAATGCATAACTATAGCTCAGTAATCTGCACCACTGTGTTTTGGGATCCATTTTATGCACATCCTTAACGTATTTATCTATTCTACTGAAGATGGGCCGTTTTTGTTATTTCCTAAGAGTTCTTTTTTTTTTAACACCTACAGCACCTGGTCTTCTTAGGTGGTCTCCCATCCAAGTACTAACCAGGCCCAACCCTGCTTAGCTTCTGAGATCAGACAGGATCGGGCTTGTTCAGGGTGGCATGGCCATAGACAAATTATGGGTTTTAAAATAAGGATACCCTAACTCAAAAAATGACAGAGGTTTTGGAAACATGGATAGACGGCATCATCCCTACAGCTCTTGTCCCTGGACCCTGCAGGCAGGGGAGGGGCCCAGGAGACTGAGGTGCTGGCTCTTGGAATTGCCCAGCAAAGAGGCTTTCAAAATCTTTCTTGGTCTTTCCTCACAGACATTTACCTTCAGGTACGTGAGGGTCCCAGCCCTCCCATTGATCTCCCTTCCCCAACCTGCCTCCACTGTGGTGGTGCTTTCCAGTGGGCCCGTGGTGGCCACAGCCAGCATTCTGCCGCCCTGGTGTCAGCCATGGTCCTTGTCTTTCCACAGAGCTACTTTCTCAGTCGAGCCCAGAGTCTGTGTGGCCCCGAGCACAGCACTGTCCCTGACTCACTGCGCTGGCTCTGTCACCCTCTGGGCCAGAAGTTTTTCATGGAGCGGAGCTGGTCAGTGAAGTCGGCTGCCAAGGAGAGTCTCTACTGTGCCCAGAGGAACCCAGGTGAGAATACCTTTGCAGCCACTTGGAACTGGAGAATGACATGAGAGCCACCAGGACTGCAGGGGGATTGTGCTTCGGACACATGGAGACTCATGCTGTCCCAGTCTCATTTTCCCCGGAGCTCAGGGGGGTCATGACCCTGGTCAGCCACTGAGCTGGGTTTGCAGCTCGCCTCTGACATTCAAAGCCCACACTCTTTACACCAGTCAGGCCATGGTCCTGCCCTTGTTCTGGGCGCTTTGGAGACACAGAGGGTGGAGTTGCCTTTGCTGGCCCGAGTCCCACTGGAAAGCAGACAGACATGTACGGAGCAGTTAGGGAACAATAGGCGACAGGCGGTCATCAAGTGCTCAGAGTGGTGGCAAGGACAGGGCTCCGGGCGTCGGGAGGAGACACTGGCTTACTGTCCCTGGTGTTTGACAGTGATTGGAGTCGACTCACCCAGGCTCAGAGCAGTAGTTAGAGCGGACGGGTTGACTCAGACTTGAGTAGCCAGTGGCTTTCTGCTTTCTGCTTTCTGCGTGCCTTTCCCCTTCACACTGGGGGTCTGGAGAGAGTGAGTGAGGCACGTTCCACAGGTACAGGCGTGTGTGTCAAACATCTGAGGGGGGTCTGCTCTCCTTTTTATAAAAATAACTTTATCGCTTACTAGAAGAGTGGTGTGCAGCCCCAGAAAGTACGAGTGAAAGCAAAAGCCCCTCCCCACTGTGTGCTTTGTCCGCACCTAGACTCTCGCTGGCTTTCTTGCCTCATGCAGGCTCTGGTTCTAGGCCTTGTCACCCAGAATGTGTTCATAAGTGTCCTGCCTCCTTGTTCTTGTCTGATTGAGGCCCATACATCTGCACGTGTAGGGGAGAGGGAAGGGGTTGGTGAGACCCCACTTTGGGTCTGCCAGTGGGGGACTTGGTGACAGTTAGCTGTTGCAAATATTGCAAGGCCTCTTGTTTATTAATCAGCTTGGCCAGACTATCACTGGCCACAAGTCCCATAACGAGGCTCTGTAAAGCAGGAGCAGGGTCTTCCTTGCCATGTCAAGGCAGCAGCCACCTCTTTTTCTACCTCAGCTGGCTGTCCTCCTGAGCCACACGGAGAAGAGGTAGCTTCTGAGACTTGGGGGAGCCGTTTTCTGTCTTCTGACATGGCTTGCGGCCACCACTTTACAGCCTCCAGCCTTGAATGGAAGTGCTCAGCTCTGTGCCAAGATACACATACACAGAGTCCAGAACCTTCCAACCCTTTAACAAGGCAGTTCTGGGGTTTGGTTGAGAAGGGTGTGATCCCCATTCAGAGGGGATAGCTGTATCTTGGGTTCCTCTCCTCACCGTCTGTTTTCTGTATAAAGACAAAACGGGCTCATAAGAAAGACTACTTTGATCCTTCTCCTGGCCCTCCTCTTCTTCAGCCGACCCCGTCGCCCAGGTCCACCAGGCCTTCTGCAAGAACCTTCTGGAGCAAGCCGTGGAGTCCTTGGTGAAGCCTCAGGCCAAGAAGAAGGCTGGAGACCAGGAAGATGACAGCTGGTAATGTCCTTGCATTGGGCTGTCTGTCCAGGAAGATTGAGGACAGCTGTGAGGCCCGCGCTCCCCGGAGACGAGCCGTAGTGTAGGGTCTGCAGAAAACAGAGTGTCCCTTTTCATCTATTCCTTCAGCCTGGCCTCTGCTCTTTTCTCCCAGAACAAATATGTCACTTTCCCCGCTTTTTTCCTTTTTACCCATCCCTTTGGCAAGTGGAGTCAGTTCTTGGAGCAGGTCAGGGATTTGATTGACTTGTTGGGATGAAGAGAGGCGACTGTGCAGGGGGTAGGAATGGAATATGAAGAGCTTAGCAGAAGGCAGCCACCTCTGGCCTGGACATCTTGGGGACCCAGACCTTTACTGAATGTGCCAGACAGTTTTTATTCTTAAGTAGTTATTAAGCACAGTCTTTCCTTCACAGGGTAAATAGGACCTGAGAGGCAGACAGGTGCCAAAGTCACTCTCGTACAAGGCCCAGGTCCTGACTGAGTGCACTTGAGTGGCAAGGGGAGGGCACTTCTGCCCTGGAGATCAGAAAAGTTCTGGGAGAGATGACATTTGAATTGGGCCTTGAGGGGAGGAGTCACGTTTTGGGGCAGGCAGTGGGAAGAGTTTCAGGAACATTCGAAGAAGGAAGGCCTGTGGAGAGTGTGAATGGCATAGGGAGCAGAGATCGGGGTATGCCTGGCATGGTGGGGGAGAAGGGGCCAGAAATGTCCATTGGGTGTCAGAGCCGGAGGATTGAACAGCCAGGCCACGAGCGTGGTCCTTGTGTGTACATTTCGATGTACATGGGACCCTTTCTTATCTCTCTAGTGAATTCTCCAGTGCCCTGGAGTACCTGAAATTACTTAATTCTTCTGTGGATTCGGTGGGGGTTATGGCCCCACCCTCCTCCAGCAGCTCCGTGCTCAAGTCAGCCCTTGGTAAGTGTCTTGCAAGGTGGCCCCACTGGCCTCAAGCTGCTCGATCCTGTCCTTCACAGTCCCTTTGTCCCAGGGGCCAGGGCTAGTTGTGAGTACACATTCAAGAATCTTCTCTGAATCTGAGGTTTATATGTACATCTCCCCCAAAGCCCTGACCACAGCTGCCCCGCTGCTGGGGTTAGGAAATAATGATTCTCCTAGAAGTGGGGTGATGAACAAGTTAATGTCTTCCCCAGACCCTAGATGCTTGACAGGTCAGCAGCCTCCCCAGTGCTTAGAACAGGCAGCAAGTAGTCCAGGCACCGGGGCTGGTGGGCACTCAATTTTTTAGACACAACAGCTCCTGCTGACGTTGGCCTTGGGTCTGACACACTGATGAAGAGACTTTTCATCTGGGTGTTTCCAAAGTCCGGCTCCAGCTACCCTTGGGTGACACAGTGCAGCCTCCTGACCGAATTGGCACTGGGACCTTCTTTACCTCTGTCCCTAAACTGCCATCAGGGTGAAGACACGTCAGCTGCCAATTCTTGGGTTTCGGAGGCCTCTGGGAAAAAGAGGGTGTCAAGCTCCCTTCTAGTCACTCTCCCAAGGGAGGGAAGGACCCCAGAAAAGCAGCCACCCCATGATGACCGCTGACCTCGTGGCCTGTCTTTATTCCAGACCTGAGAACACGCTCTTAGGCACTCTTTTTTTAAAACATCCATCCCACTGGCATCTCAAGATCATTGGTATTATAACTTTGCAGCTGAGAAAACTAAGCCTCAGCGAGAAAAAGACTGAAAAGGTTCTGACATGAGCCTGTTCCCACAGAAACTTTGGAAACGCTGTTTGCCGTGGCTGTTGGAAGTTTCGGTTATTTCCAGCTTTTTCCTTAAAAAAAAAAAAGCACTACAATGAACATTTTTGTTGAACTTTTTTTTCTCAATTTAGGCGAATTTCTTTGTGATAGATTGCCCAAATTGGGATTACTAGGTTAATAGGAGTGAGCATTTTTAAGGCTCTTGATACGTATTGCCAAAAGGTGCTAGTTGACGGTTCCACCAGAAATTTGTGAGGGTCACAGAGGGCCCTGGCCCATCGCCAGAAGGTAAAGACGCCATGTGCCACGTGGGGATTGGGTGCAGCCACCTGGGCTAAGCACCGCAGGTCTGGTTTCCGTGGCTGCTGGAGTGACATTTGATACTGTTCTCCCCCTAGGTCCAGATGTCATCTGTCGTTGGTGGACATCTGCGATCACAATGGCCATCAGTTGGCTCCAGGGAGATGATGCAGCTGTACGTGCTCATTTTACCGAAGTAGAGCGTGTCCCCAAGGCCCTAGAAGTGACTGAGTACGTAAGCCTCCTTGATCACTTACTTATTTCTCTTCAGGGAAATCCCAGATGCTGGGTGTGCCAGGCTTGCTTGTCTGGGTTAGCAGGAGGGAGCAGGAGAGAGCAGGCCTGGGCGGCCATCGGGGTGAAGGGTCAGGCAGCCTGGGGACCACACGAGAGATGGAGAGAAAGTGAGGAGAAAACGAGCTTGGCAAGCACAGCTGTCATGTGCGCTGTCCCAGCAGCTGTCAGTGCTGCTTCCAGGGCCTCCTCCCACAGCCTCCGTGGAGTCACAAACCTGTGACAGGCCAGGAGAGTGGTATGGCTCCTGGCATCTTCAGAAGCTCATGGTGGAGCCAGGCAGTGGGGGTGATGGCTCGCATCCAGCGCTAGGCTTATGAGGGCCCAAGGATCCTTCACTCATGTCCTCTCAGCCACCCACTACCCCCATCAGTCTGTCACTCAGAGGCCTTTAGCACAGGCGTAGCCAGAGAGTCTTCGACGTCCCCCTATGGGGACTCCTACCTGCGGGCGTTTGGCCTGTAGTCATGGCAGCCCCGCCGGCCACCACCCTAGCTGTTTCTAACTGGGTCTGCGTCCTTAACCTCTGCCACTGGAGGGAGAGTGTAAAATGCTCCCAGGGCAGAAAGGCCCCACGAGGTCTACACCTCAGAGCCAAGGCTGCAGCATTTCCCGTCAAGCAGACTCCTAGGCAGGGGGCCAAAGGAAGCTAAGAAAAGTGGGGGTAGGCAGGTTCCCTAAAGTAGGTCTGAAACCCCAATTTCATTTAACCCATTTTTAAGCACCCTGACCAGTGAGCACCCCCCTGCGTGTGTCTCTCATCTAACACTCCTGAGGAAACTGAGGTGTGGCAGGTAAATTGTCTAACATCACCTCACTTCTAAGCAGTAGAGCTCGGCATGCCCCTGAGATCCTCAGCAGGCATTCCCGCCCCCTGAATTCTGTCATTCTGGGGTCCCTTTGCTCTTTAGGAACAGCGATGCTGTGAGAACCCTCCCCCAACCTCCCCGTCCTCTCCTCAGTCCGCTCTGTGAAAAGAAGCAAAGTTTCTCCAGGGAGTTTAATAGCAGCTTCTGGGGCAATGGCCCCTCAGAGAGCAGGTGGAGTAATGAGGCCAACGCTCTTTGTCACTGCAGGTAGCAGCAAGTGGTACTGTGGCCACTTGACAGATGAGGAAACTGAGGACCTTGTTTGACCATAACTGACCCTGCAGCTCGCTCTCCCTCCACCCTCCTCCCTCCTCACTTCCTCCTCCCCAGACCCTCTGGCTCCTGGGTATTCTCACAAGCATCAGACACTGGGCCCCTTTGTACGTGCTGCTCCTCAGCCTGGGACCCTCAGCTCACTCCCCCAGTTCCTTCAGGTCTCGGCTCAAATGTTCCCTTTCCAGAAAGGACATCCTTGACTGTTCCTTATAAATGCCACCCCTTTCCTCTGCATGACTTTCTTCCATGGTACTTGCATTGCTTGCCATTGTATAATCAGCACTTGATGTATTTATTGTCTGACTCTCTCACTAGAGAGTGAGTGCCCGAAGGAGGTGCTGTCGGGGCAGGGAGCCCACCCTCGCTCAGGGCTGGCATTTCAGACCTGCAGCTGGGGACCTGGAACCACTATGGCATCATTCAGTCTCCAGACCTATGTGTCACGGCAGCGTGGGGTATAGTGGTCAGCAGTTTGGGCTCTTCCTCAAGTTACTCTTCAAGGCGACAGGTACTGACCTCCTGCCTCTCGCCTTCCTCACACCACTCAGGAGCGCCCTGGTGAAGGCCGTCTTCCACACCTGCAGAGCCATGCACGCCTCGCTCCCTGGGAAGGCGGATGGGCAGCAGAGTTCCTTCTGCCACAGCGAGAGGGCCAGCGGCCACCTGTGGAGCAGCCTCAACGTCAGCGAGGCCACTTGCGACCCCGCCCTCAACCAGGTGAGTGGGGGCTTTTCTGGCCCCTCCTGGAGGGACTCAGCTCTGGTGGGTAAGAATACTCTGACCCTCTGTGAGCTTACCCATTGGGGGGCTGTCTGAGAGACAGACCAGGCGAGCAGCTCCCATCCCCAAACGTAGCCTATTGGCTCAGGTGGGCTCCCTGTTTAGTCCTTGGGGCAGGCGTGTCCCACCTACACCTTTTCTGGGCCCTCTGAGCGCCAGATCCTGTGGGCCAGGGCTTTGCCTTTGCTCCGGGCAGCTCACGCGACTCCCCAGGCCCCTGCAGGCCAGCCACGCGCTCCTAGCGGGCAGCCGTGGTGCATTGTAGTTGCATTGCATGTTCTGGTGGTACCCATGCAGTGTTTCCACAGTGCATCACAGAGGCCCGCCCGGTCTTCGACAGACTTCCCACCCAGGCCTTGTCAGAGGGCACTGCTGCGTCTGACGCATGGTCACGCCAGGGGAAGGGGGAGGAGTGCCTGCAGCTGGAGGAACAACATCCTCTGCTCTCGGGGGCAGGGGGCGTGGTTTCATTCCAGAAAGGAAGACTGTCCTGGAGGGTCAGACTCTGAGCCCCTCACTCGGGTTTGGCCCCAGTGGCTAGGCTGGCACTTCTGGCTAGAGGTTGCCAGTGGCCCAGGGCAGCACGCCAGCCGTACAGGACAGGCAGTGTACAGAATGGGCCAAGACCAAAGCCTGTGGGGGAGCCACATCTCACTTTGTGCCTTTCCCCTGCTGGTCTCCTGTAGTATTTGTCTTCACGAGAGAACCAGTCTCAGCTGGATTTGAGGAATGAGAGAGGCTGTGGGCACCGTTGGGACCACACTCCTGGGTGACGGTTCTGTGTGAGAGAATGTGCCTACAAGAGGGAGACCCCAGGGAGCCTGGTGACTCAGAATCCAGCCCCAGGTCCCTGCCCCCACCCAAAGGTGCTCCCCCAGTGCATACCTCTAGAAGCGCCAAGTTTTGTTCAAGGTCTCAGGGTGGGGGGTGCTCATCTATGTCCCTTTGAGGCTGTCGGCAGCCAGAAAACAGTGTGGTAAGGGTCAGAGCACTGAGCAGTCATGAGGCGGGATCCAGGGAGGCCAGGGGTGGCACTATGCCCCAGATCAAGCACCTTGGAGAGGGGCAGAGCCTGGCTGGGCGAGAGGCGGAGTGGCCTGGGGAGCCCACCTGGACCTGAGGGCCGCGTGGGACCTAATCTCGAAAAAGAGTCACTGTCTTCTTGTTCTCACTGCTGCCTGGTGCTGATGGCTTCAGGAGCCAGGTGGGCGGCCCAGCCACGTCGGTGCCACGCAGCGAGCACACGAGGCCAGGCAGGCGGCACCCATGCCTAATAGCAGCCAGTGTTGACTGACTGCTCCTGAGGGCCAGGCATGGTGCCCACGTGGTGCGTTCATGGCATGCTGACAACAGCCCCATTGGACCTATTTTGTGGATGAGGAAACCGAGGTTCAGTCATGTGCCAGGGTCATGTAGCTAATCAGTGACAAAACTGAAGTGATCCAGGTCAGCGGTTCTAAACCCGAGCATTAGCTGCTCTGCGGTTCTACCTTCTTGGGCTCCTGTCTCCCCGCCCCAGAGGCCATGGAGGCAGAGCCTTGGCTGCCCTCTGCTGCGGTGAGCCTCCCCTGCCCTCCTTCCCCTCCCCCATCTCCAAGCCACACTGCCGCTTCAGGCTTTTCCATTCCACTAGAGGAGCAAGGGCCATGGCACCTTTAGGCCAGCCATGAGGTGGGAAGAACCTGTGACTTCCCATCAGGCCTGTGAGGGTTTATTCCTACCTCTGCCACTGCGTCCCTACACAAGCTACTTCCTCTCTGAGTCTCAGCGTCCTCATCTGCAGAACGAGAACAGATCTCACCTGGGGCCGTAGAAAGATCAGATGCCATGAGTCTGAGTTCGTTCTTTAGCTGTTCTCCTGTTCCCTGTGGAGTGTTTTCCAGGCCGCCCCATCTGGGGCTCTCCACTTCCCCTCAGAGCTGCTGATTGTTGGGCTGGGGCGGGCTTGGTAGATGCTGGGACCCCTGTCCCAGCAATAGGCTCATTACCTGTCTCCTCCCCAATGGCCCACCCCACAGGTGGTCCAGCTGCTGACTTGTGACCTGCTGCTGTCACTGCGGACTACACTCTGGCAAAAGCAGGCAGGAGCCAGCCAGGCCCTGGGTGAGACCTACCATGCATCGGGCGCTGAGCTGGCTGGCTTCCAGCGGGACCTGGGCAGCCTGCGCAGGCTGGCACACAGCTTCCGCCCAGCCTACCACAAGGTGAGGCCCCGCTAGCTGGTGGGGGAGGGCAGACCGGGGCCGCAGGACCCAGCACAGCAGCAACGTGGGGTCGCGAAGGTAAGTACTACGGGAGACCAGCTCGTTGACCTGTCAAGCACTGGGTTGAGTGCCACGTATCCTTTTGTTTGGCTCCTCTTGGTAGAATATCTGCTGTGTACCGGCCCTGGAGTGTGGTGGTGAGCAGGCCACGTGGCTCCCAGACAGAGGGGCTGGCAGCTCACAGCTCAGTGCTGGGATGGGAGGGGCTCCTGGCCCCATCTGGAGTCCGGTGGGAAGGACACAAGGGAGCTCTACTCTGGCTTTCATAGCTGGCACGGTCTCCTTGGAACTGCATTTGTCCCTTTTTCTGGGCTGTTGGGCGCTTAGTTTCTGCAGCCTGACTGTCCACGTAGCATGGTCATGGCCACAGGATCTGAGACAGGTCTGCGAGCGCAGTCATATCCCTGGACTCACTGGATTTAAGTCACTTCCTTGTTTTATTTGTACTGCTAATTAGAGTAATGTACTTTACATATTTTTGCCTGAATTATTTTCAGAAACTTGAAGTGAGGCCAGAGTGTTAGTGGTGGGGAAGGGCATGAAGGAGAAGGGCTCGGAGTGAGGCTGCCCGTGCCCTAGGGTGCTGTGGGGCCCTCACAGGGATCGCACTGTGCCACTGTGTGCACCGAGCCAGGGCAGGCACAGCAGACAAAACGTCAGACAAGCATCAGAGAGCCACCCCTTACGGAAAAAGGAAGTGTGCCCCAAGGTTTGGTGGCTCTCTGATCTGCTCAGGGCACGGCCGGCCATTTCCATCCCTCCTCAACCTTGCTGAGAACCCTTCAGTGGCCCCCTCTGGGCTGCACTCAAGACCCTCCCCACACTAAGGTATTAAGGTATAAAAGAACTTGGAGAGTTTTAAGAAATTAGAGACCTAAGCCTGTCCCCCACTCCCGCTCGGTATCAGGGGTTAGAGAACAACACTGGTTGCTTTCACGGGGTGAGCAGGGCAGGGTAGTGTGGAGGGGAGAGTGGGTGTCGTCAGGTGGCAGATGAGCTGCTGCAGGGAGAGGCACCTGTATGTGCTGGGGCGCACGGGAGAGGGCTCCAGGGCTTGACTATGTCTCTGCTGCACCTCCCCAGGTGTTCCTGCACGAAGCCACCGTGCGCTTGATGGCAGGCGCCAGCCCCACGCGCACCCACCAGCTGCTGGAGCACAGCCTGCGGCGGCGCAGTGCTCAGAACTCCAAGCCCGGTGAGTCCTCCAGCGCCCCAGCTCAAAGGCCCGGTGTGGGCCCTGCCAAGCCAGGGAAGTGCTGTGGGAATGAGGCAAGCCCAAGGCTTGACTTGGGTCGCCCAGGACCAGGCGCAAAGGCGCTGTGGGGGTTGGGGTGGGGTGGGTCCGGAGTCAGGAGTTGGAGGTGGGGAGGGACCAGGGATGTCCCAGTGCAGGAGCTAGGGTGGAAGCACAGGTCCTAAAGCCAGACCGCAGGGGCTTCATCTCACTGCCACCACAGAAGAGGAGCCGCGTGATGCCAGCCAAGTTCATGTCATCCCACCTGTGACCCAGGGAGGACACTGGAACCTGCCTCACTGGCTGGTGTGATGACTGAATAAATGCGTCCACATCAAGCCCTTGGAGTAGCACCTGTATCCCAGTGGGCTCTCAGCGTGCAGTTTCCACATGTACCTCCTCATTCCCACAGGAGAGGCGGACGCCTGGCCCGGCCAGCGAGAGCGGGCCACTGCCATCCTGCTGGCCTGCCGCCACCTTCCCCTCTCCTTCCTCTCCTCCCCGGGCCAGCGGGCGGTGCTGCTGGCCGAAGCAGCCCGAACCCTGGAGAAGGCGGGCGACCGGCGCTCCTGCAACGACTGCCAGCAGATGATTGTCAAGCTGGGGGGTGGCACTGCCATCGCCGCCTCCTGACCACCGGGGGTCCTGCCTGCCGGGTCCTGCCCGCCTCTACCCACCATCTCTCTCTGTCTCTCTCCTCCCTCTGTCCCCCAGTCTCTTCCTGTCTCTCTCCTTCTCCGTCTCTCAGTCTCTCCCTCTGTCCCCCGCTCCTCCCTCTGTCCCCGTCTCTCCTCCGCTCTGGGAGCCGGGGGATGAGCCTTGTCCTCTGAGCTGTTGCCTGCCAAGGATCACCTCAGGCCCTCAGGCCCCTGGGCAGAGCCCCTTATAGCTTATGTGGGTAGAAGCTGGTGGGCCTGAGAGAGGAAAGACAGGGCAGGGCAGGAATTGGGGCATACTCTGACTGGATAGCAGCAGGGGGATCCCCCAAGCTGCCCAGCCCCTGTCTCTAGCCCTCCCAAGATTCTCTGAACATCTCTTTCCCCCTTTCCTGCTCCCTTGTTTTTTATCAGGCTTTTCCTCTGGGGAACATGGGTCTCTGGGCACTAGAGCACTTCACATTTGGCACTGTGCCCGGTGTGCCCTCCCCCACTTTTTATACAAATGTTTTTATATCCGTGTGCTTGGGTTTGCCGTGATGCAGAACTAAGTTGCTGCGCATCTTTATTTCTCTCCCTGGGTTAGCCCCTCCCCTGTACCTGACAAAGCCAGTTCATTGTTTTCTCTTTATTACACAGGACAGCCAGGGAAGGGAGGGAGCCCAGCCCTGGGGAGGTGGCGGAGAGACGCCTGGGGATGGATGAAATAATGTCGGCATTATTTTTTAATTTTTTAAAAAATAAACGGTATCTTATTTAATTGTACTGTTCCTTCCCACTCCCCCACGCCCTGGAATGACAGCCCAAGCTCAGGGTAGGCCCAGGGGCTGGGAGAGATGAAGTCACCCATTGGGACTAGGGCCTGGGGCCTTCAGTTCCCTCCCACCCGACTCCTACCTCCATGGTCTATTTTTATCCCTAATTCTTAACCTGAAAATAAGCCAGGGTGGCAAGGTAGGCACTGAAATAAGGTCCCTGCCTTGATGGGGATCCTGGGAGAAGTGGCCCTGCTTTTCTAGGTTCCCAGGCTTGGTGCCTCCCCTGAGGTTGTTTCTCCGGGGCCTGAGTACTGCCCGGGACACGAGAGCCTGCTGGGAGGCCGAGAGGTGCTGCCCTCCCTCCCTCCCTCCCTCCCTGTGCTTCCCACCCCCTCAGGCTGCTTGGAGCAGAGTGAGCAAGGGCCCATCACAGGTTAGGTTATACCCACAGCAAGGGCTCCCCTGATGCCAAGGGCAGGCCAGAACCAGTCAGCTTGGACCTCACCTACTTTCTTCTGCCCCTCCCCACCACTGTAATTTATAGCCCCTGGCCACCAGGTGAGCCAGCCCTGTGTCATGTGTATATACTGTGCCTTTTCTCGTTATTGTTTAGGGGTGGGAGGGATGGTTTTTCACTAAAAAGGGGGATATACCTATGGCTGCCTTGATGTGGAATCATTCACCGTGTTCTGGATATAGGTAATTCAATAAACACAGATTGGTACCACCCAGCACGAGGCGTGTGAGGGTCTGTAGTGTGATCACCATGGCAACTAGCCAGGTGGCTGCATGGCTTGGCCTCCAATGTGCCAGGGACTGAGGACAGCCCCTCCCTCTCCGCTGAGAGGCCCCGGGGGACTCCATTCGAATGGAGCTCCCTGGGCCAGGCCAGGGCCTGGGATCAAAGGTGTGGTGCTGTAGGGGTCAGAAATCACTGCATCCAAGACACAGTTGGCTCTTTGGCTGGCGGCTGCCATTCTTTGGGATTTAGGATGCTGAGCCCTCCTGTGTTCACCCCTCAGATAAATCTCATCCTTAGTGGGTAGGCCACCTCTCAGTTTCTCCATTCTCCCTAGAGGCAATGAGCTTCTGAGGAGACTCACTGGCCCGAATGTCACATCTAAATCCCACTCCTGTACTTCCCAGCTGGGTCACCTCGGGTGGGATGTTGCCTCAGCGTCCACTTGCACATGCGCAGGATGGGAACGACAGTTTCTGCCTTCGCCTACAGTCCGCATAGGTTTGTTGGCTGGTTTGAATGGGTCAGTTTATGGCAAATGCCTTGTGAGGCTGGTGAGGGCAAGACCATGAGGAGAGGGTGGGCCGGGGAGAGATGGAGTTGGGATGTCACATGGTAATGAGCTGGGGGCTGAAGTACAAGGTCACCTGTCCTGGCTGAGAAATGGGCTGAGTCCCCTGAGCTCTCTGAGCCACTCCCTTCTCTGAAGGGGAGTCATTGCAGGCCACACTGTCCCAAGGGCTAGAGCAGCTAGGAGGGGCCCAGCTGCAGCTGCTCCTTGTCCATAGTACAGTAGTATTAACAGTGGTGGCCATGCCCATGGCCTCAGCCTGGCCCCCTGGGAGGGAGATGCAGGGCTCTTGGGACTGAGAATGAGCAAAGAGGTCATGCCCACCTTCCCTGACACAGCCCAGCCAGGGCCTGCCTGCATCACCAGAATGGGGGACCGTGGGTGGCCAATGTGCCCAAGAATCTGATCCTTTTTTGAATCTCGCCTGGCTACGTGACTCAGCACCCACCCAGCCTCCCCCGGCTCTACACAGCTGCAGGGTTGGCCATGGGGCACCCCACCCCCACCCCATGAGCCATGGGGGCCCTCACTGCAGGCAGGACCATGGGCTCTGGGCCTTGGTTTCGACAGCGTTAAAGAGGTGGATCTTCCTGCAGGTGAAGAGCTGGTGGGTTTGGGAGCCTCAGGGCTCAGACAGTAGAAGGTCTGCGATTTCCTGTACCCTGGGAGTAGGGGCTCCTCCCCCACTGCTTGACACTCCACCATCAGGATCACAGTGGCAACAGAATATGGAAGAGTCCTAAACTGGAGTCAGCTGGGTGACCTTGGTAAGTTACTTAGGTCTCAAAAGCTCAATTTCCTCATCTGTAAAGCCACACACCATGGGGCTCTCGTGAGAATTAAATGAAAGAAACAGCTACAAATGGTGGCATTTGTTACTAAAACAGTATACCATCACTAGGGTACGTGGGAAACTAAGGCCCCACTGGGTGGCTTTGTTGAGGTCATCCAGTCCTCAACCTCCCCAACAGTACCTGTCACAGAGCAAGTCGATGGGTGCAAGCTGCTGGCAGTGTGCTGGGCCACAGCCAGGGACCCAGAGCCTGCCTGGTAGGAAGGGGGAGAGCCAGCATTGCCAAGCATGTATGGTGAGAGCACCCCGGTGGGGGCACTGCCAAAGCTCTGGGTCCAGCACCCCCATCCCCATTTCCCCCAGAGCAGCCACTGGGAAGAGGCTCTGCCATCCTGAGCACCAGCTGTCCAGCCGGCCCGTTGCCCACAGCCATTAGGGGGGTGGCTCTGGGCCAAGCTGGCCAAGTGGCCTGCAGGCCAGGGGTGGGCCGAGGGCCAAACTATGTCAGTGAGGGTCAGCCAGGCTCAGCCAACTCAAGCTGTAGAGTGGGTGACCCGCTGCAGGGGGCATGGACCCTCCGGGGGAACTCAGGTTTGATAGCCTTCTCCTTTCCCCTGTGCCCAGGCCTCAAGATGGTTGGGGCCTAACTGCCCCTTTCCCATGGGTCCCACTAGTGGGACATCAAGCCTGACATTCAGCTCTGAGCACCCCTTCCTACCACTTCTCCCCGGCTTCTAGAACACTGACAGCTCTCGGGAGCAGTCCTCTGCTCGTACCCATGCTGTGCCCTCTGTCCAGTCAATAACCAATGCCTCAGCCATCAGCCCAACTCAGAACCAAGCTGGGGCTCCTTTATTCTCAAGGATGGCAGCCACAGAAAAGGGTTTATTTACATGAGGAACCTGGGCCCTAGGGTCCCCAGGACAGGCCCCTTCTTAGCCCTTGCAGGCTCCAAGGCCCTAGTCCAGTTCGGGCAGGTGGAAGGGCTGGACTTAGGACAGGCGCCCCTCCTTCAGTGGCTTCAGACCCTGAACCAGGCCAATGGCAGATCCCCAGCAGACGAGGGCTCCTGGTGATGCGATGCTTCGGAAGAACCGGCAACCCCGTCTTCACACGGTTACTTCAGCTTTGCTGTTGGTGCTCAGGTGCCGGGGTCCGCGGCCCGCACAGCCGTAAAGGCCCGGGGGCTGCGGGCCGAAGGCCTCGGGCAGCTTCTCCACGCTGAACTGGCGCCGGGGAAGGTGGCCGGACCGTCGGGGCGCAGGGGAGGCCTGAACCGCCACGTGGCCGCGGGCGGGTCGAGCCGGGCGGCCTGTGGTCCAGGCCTTGCAGTGGCCGGATGCGGTGGGACC